TCGAAAATATATATTATAATAATACTAAAGTGGCGTTACATCCCGTAATTTTTCGACTCCGGGGTTTTCGCGACCACGCGCGTGAGAGCAAATACGGACACATTTCTGGAAACGAAAACGCACGTATTTATTTTAACATTTCACGCGTCCATTGTTCGCGTTTGAAAAATGTACGGTCTCGCTGTTACGATAAAACGTACGCTTTGCTGGGCTGTTCGGCGCCGTGTTTAAAGTCTCGTAAACAGCGCGAGCTGCTAGTTATGTGAGACGATAAAACAAAAAATGCGGCGCGACCGCAATTTCCCCCGTTGCGGAAAGAAAGAGAGAGAGAGAGAGGAAGGGTTAAAAAATTGAAAAACGACAAGAGAATGTTATGAAATCGTTTATCCTCCTCTTCTTGCGTTACGATTTGTCCCCATTGTAATCTTCATAATGAGATAATATAAAAAGCAAAAACACGATGATTTTGTTTAGAATTCAAAAGCAAGCCTAAATTAACGTGATAGAATAATAAAGATTGCAATAATGTAAAATTCGATTGCTATAAATTTTAAATTTAGTTATTCTGACACGTTAAATGCAATTATCCGAAGCAGTGGAATAGCAGTTATTTATTTAATATCTCCGATCTAATATTTCTAAATCCGTTTTGCGCCAATTATTAATACGAATAAGCGCGCGCGATGTAATTTTCGTTATAATTTTATATTTTCTCACGTTATGCATATTTAACACAGATATGTTAGAATTTATGCTTCAATATTAATAAACGATTAGCCAGCAGCGAGAAATGATTGCAAAAAAAAGGATTATTAAAGATTTCGATCGTGTCGATCCGCTTAAAAGGCGCGAAGCGAGCTTCGTAGGAACTTCTGATAAATCAGTATCCCGAGCGAGGAGCGAAGACGAATGACTGCTATTCGCAATTGCAGGACGGCGTGAGTCTGCAATTCACGCCGACGGTGGAGGACGAGGGGAAGTTCCTGGTGTGTCGTGCCGAGAATCCGAAGCTGCCGGAAGCCGGTATCGAGGACCGATGGAAGCTGAGAGTGCACTGTAAGTACACGTCGAATGATGGTCGATAATATGGCGGTGACTCGCGTATTCGCGAAACGTGGCTGCGTCACGATACGAATAATGTTCTCGCTGCACACAATCTCATGTGTATATGTACATGTATATATATATATATTTTGCTGGGCAAAATTGTATAAAAAAATATTAACTTTAGAAAGTTATTTGTTTTGACAACGAGAATGTGAATCGTTTACGCCACGTGTTATTTTTAGCGTTTTCATGAAAAATGATATTTATCAATCCGTTTTCGCTACGCTTTTTGTATTAACAAATTTTAAAATTCTGTCGAGATTCAGTTAGAGCAAAGCTGATGATCGTGGGGCATTTTCTCAATATAATCCGACAATCGAAAATCGAAAATTCGGCACGAGTAAGCATTTTTTGAATGCTCGACGTACCTAAGCGCGCGTGATTTTTTCCGAAACACTGGTCGGTGTAATGACTCTTTTACCGACCATCACGTCGCGCGGGAGGAAGAATGAATCCGATTATAACGATAAATTCCTGAAAGCCAGCACGGGATCTCCTTCAGGACAAAAGCTCGGGTATAGGCGATTGGAATTTCATTCGAACGAGTTCGAATAACAGGCTTCTCACGTGATCGCTTTCAGACAAGAACGATCCTCGTAAGTCTCCCGGTCATCCTTTAAGGAGAATGGTGCTCGTAATGCATATACATATATCTCTCCCTTTTCGAAGAGAGAACATTAAGAAATCGGTTTCTCGAAAGAATTAAGCGATATTATAAAAATACACATGAAATGTAAATTAATACATCTTTAATAAATTGTGTACATTATTTTATTGCATCTTTGAGTATTGCGCGTTGTCTATAAAACAACATATATATATTGTATATGTACATAATACACAAATTTTTGGGGATGTTTGTATTAATTTTAGATCGACTAACTTGCAATCAATTGGAAAATTGTTTGTATTACTTATACCATCAGTTGCAGCTCAGTAAATTATTTGTTGCTGTTTTAGCTCCAGCGCACACTGCTAAGTACATATTTATCCGTCGTATACCCCGATCGTATTATAAAATAGCTTGGGTAAAGAGATACGCGTCCCGAAAATTGGCTGAATCAACTCCCTATGGGAGTAAACACCGCCATTTGCGATACCGAAATCACGGTAATAACCGAGCGAAAAATAAAGTCCGTGTAATTAGCCAACAAATTTAAATATCCGTGGGACTGGAGGGGAAAGGGGATGAAGGCGGGGGACGATAACAGGTTCATTATCCATTAAAAAGTTAGTTGGCTGTAGCGCAGGGCTATCAGATAACGTTGAACATCGGGCCGAGCTGTAAACGTTATTAAACGTTAATAAACGTTAAGCGGTATTACAGAACAACATGGTGTAACGAACGATCCGCGAACGTGTGGTAAAACATTATAGCAAGCCATAAATAATTGCCTGATCGCTCTCTCTGTTTTGTTTATAAAACTTGTATGGAAATTGAGATAAAAATGTAAATTTCGAAATATAGCGGGAAATTTCCTCTCTCTTCACAAAAATTTGGCGGTATTAAATATATGTTGGAGATAGCATGTTACATGAATAACTTGTTGAACTTTATACTAAGCTGGCGAATTGTCAATTATTTATTATAATAACTCATTTCCTTTTCCAATTTCATTGAGTCTATATTTGACTCGAGGTCGATTGTTTCTTTAACAAAATTAAAGCAATCGATATCGCGATACAGTATTTCCCAAAAAAAAAATAAATTGCAGTTTCCGTAACTGTTTGGTCATAAGCTTTCGCTTCTCTAATTTATATCCGTAAGAGAAAATTAAGCGGAAGCACTTACACCGAATGTCGCGAATAGGGTAGGCAGTCGCTGTCCACTCCGCTCGTAACAGCCTCCTTTCTATTGCCGAGTGCAAATTGGGAGCAACTGAGACTGAACTTTGCACAGTGTAATTGCTTGCGTTGACCACGCGGCGCGGAGAGAAGTAAATAGCCGGAAATAACCCCGTAGTTGATACTCTTTTGCCGTTACAAGATCGCCGATACGTGAGTGGTATCGCTGGCGAAACCAATAATAGGTGCCGAGAATCGAGAATCGTACAAATGCCATTTTTACGGGAAACTGCTAGAAATTCTATTCTGAGAAACGACTCGGAATCGATTATAAAAATCGTACTCATAAATGCCATATTTTTTAGAAATATCAGAGTCACTCATACACACATATTTCTTTGTAATATAAAATCAAACGGAGATTAAATTTTACTTTTTGTATTTTACATACTTTTAAGTGTCGATTCTAGAAACAATGCGAATTGATTGAAAATAAAACTAAATTAATTAAAAAACTATTAAAGACATAATATGACATAATATTAATTAAAACTATTAAAGACATAATATGAGAAATTTTGCTCAGATTAACACTCGAAAATTTTGTAATTTTGATTTTAATGACTTTTCATCGCTATACAATATTTTACATTCAAAAACAACAAGTTTTTTCCGAAGATATTGCAACGTAGTGTTGTAACATGCTTATATGAAATTTCAATTTTAATCGAATTCACCGATCACGCAATTTTAAACGGAAATATCAAATTAATCGATCATCCGTAGAGTTCATCGAGCAATATCGGCAATTAAGTTTTCCGAAAGTTATAAACGTATATTAGCGAGACGACGTTTTCGCTCCGATGATCGTACAGAGAACGCTGTCGGCGACGGAGGGGGCCTTGCTCAAGGGCCCGAAACGATCCTTTGAGCCGCGGCGTAACAATTTGGATTGGTTGTAGGTACGTACCGGTCTGAAGTGTCCTTGCGCGAACGTAAAGGGATGGTTAATTCGATTCCGATAGCTTGCGCAATACATGGATGCGCCAGCGTGAGAGAGCGTACGCAAAAGTAACACGCTTACTTAGGCGAACGGATTCGAAAGTAAAAGGATAAAATTGGAAAAGCCTCGCGCCATGTAAAACCTTTGCTGCATAGCGCTCTTACGTGACAAGATCTTTTCCAATCATAGTTTTAGGTGGAGATTTTAATTTTTCACGTCGCGAAACTATCTTAAAATCATTTTTAAAAAAATACCTTGTTTTAGCTTGCAACGAACGTGTGAATACTAAGTTTGGAAAATTATAAGTGCAATATCACTTTTAAATTAACAAACTCAATTTCGTTACGGCAAGCTGGCTCCGTGGAAGAGGAAACATTCTGTCAATTAAATTAATTGTAATAATTATATCGAATTTTAGCAGTATTAATTCTCTCTTGATTCTCTCTTATTTTAAATTTATCTCATAATTATTCTTCCGCGCTCTTTGTCAATTTTTAATTGAGAACTATTTCATTTTCCTGATAATCATCTTGTCCTTAAACGCAAGATTTCCGTCCGCTATGTAGGTATACAGGACAAGATACGATGGAAGCACGAGTTTCTCGTCGCGCGCATACGATTCCCCATTTTCGCGTGATTCAATATCGCTTTAGCCGCTTTGCCTCCACCTCGAAATTACATAGCTGTCCAATCCGTTGTGCGTAAACGCGCGATTCGGGAACGTCTGCTCACGCTCGCGCCGCGAGGAGATACAAGAGGGGCTATCGTTATCCGTTTATTTACGGCCGCCCCGTCCCGTCCGCGATCGACCGCTCTCTGCCGCACGGTGCATCCGGTATTATCCTCGCGTCCGGCGTTATATGCGGGCATTTGGCATTAGCCCGACGGTTAATCGCCACCGGTGGTGCAGCCGCGAGGAATTCTCGAGGGTCCGGCTAACGCACGCGCGAGTCAACCCTATATGCTGATCTATAGCAGAATATCCCTTTCAAAATCGAGCACGATCGAGCGTTCTCGGGCAAAGTTTCGATCTTCGGTAAGACAGATCTTCTGAACAATCGCGTTTTACAGTTGAAAGGTAAGTGCTTCGAAAACTTCAGGAAACTTCAAAAGCCGGTTTCAAAAGTATTTGGCTTCAAGCTTTTATTTTATATCTTATCAATTTTATTCTGTTGTACTGAACATTTCCGGCAGAAGGATTCGTTTTGTTTTCTTCCCTCGTACGTCGCGATTCAGCGGGGCGACTGTTTCGCATGCGAATTCTGGAATAATTTTATTCACGGCGTGACATTTCCACAAGGAACGTTATAATCGATGCAAGCGGCTCATGCAACTGTCCGACGAAATCGCGTCATTTCCCTTTTTGTTTATCTCAGAAACTGACATTTGACAGCGGACTACACGTGACAGCTGCCGTCGGAGAAATCAGCTCTCGTTACACGCTAGTTTACAACTCTATAGCATATACATGTAGTCACTGTATTCCACATGTATTCGCTGTATCTATGTAGATATGACTCTCGTGATTACGATTTTCTAAAGAATTGTCAATTTAAACAAAAAATTTACATTGATAAAATTTTAGAAAAATTAAGAAAATTTAAGAAAATTATTTTGATAAAACGGTCTAATAAAAAATTAATTAGACAAGTGCAGTAGTTTCAAAGTATATGTAATCAAATCATCATATTATAATGAAACCGATCCAACTTTATCTTTGAATAACAAACTAAACGTCGTAAAATACCTTAGATGTAGCCTTTGGCACACTTGCACGTATCATATTAATTGATAATAATATTCTGCGTTGAGAGTTAAATGATACGTATGTAACTTGAGAACTGCAGTTTGTCCGACAACAAATCTCAGTGATGGCTCTATTTCGAGGCGATACGCGAATTTCCGACCGTGACTTCGCCTATATCATACGACATACTTTTGCGGGAGAACAACGCGGCGCATCGCACGGATTTTTCTATTTGTCCCGCTCGTAAAATGAGTTTATCTCCGGGAGGATACGAAACGCGAAATAAAATTCGTTCTCGTTAGTCGGCTCCTACTCGCGCTTTCGTTATGACTTCGCGTTAGCGGCGCATAAAATGTTGCGGCCAAATGAAATTTGATTCGACCTCTAAGGCACTGACGTTTATCAAAAATTTCG